ACATGGGATTACAACCCTAAGGCAGTTCTGTTGAGAACTTGCTGAACTTCAAAAATGTTCTGTAGTGTACACATTTTTATAAAGACAGATAAGAAATACGGAAAAAACAACCAGACATATTTGTTCCCGAATGCGACTGTTTTCTGTTTTCAGCAAACTCTCCCTGAAGTAGAAAATAGTTTTTGACAATGTATGTTAATTGGAATTGAAATCCAATTATCAAAGATGCTGTTTTGAAGCTTTAGTAGTTATCTTTAGATCTCAAACTCAATTATTCCTGTAGTTTTTATATTTTTTATAAATGTAATTATAATTTTTTCTCAATTTTTATTATTTCATTCTCTTCAAAGGAGTGGTACTTATCTCTGTGCTAATTATTTTTTAACCCAATGTAGTCATACTTAATTCCCACCCACTAGCTAGTTCTCCATATACCAACTTGGAAGGTAGATCTTGCTCCTTTGGAGACTCATAAAGCCAGAAGTAGCAGAGTTATAAGAAGGCTCAACATGCTTGGAGGAGACCGCTTACTGCTACTTTATTTTGCATACACGAGCTAACAGAAACCCAAAATTGGGTAGCGTTGGGAGAGCAACACCATTATTCCCACATAGAAAGAACAGCCAGTTATGCTGTCTTGAAGTTGTGGCATTGTTGGGATCTGAACTCCCGACATTATGATGAATGCTTAAACTGTTGTGCCACTTGAGATCCTTCTAATGGCTTTTTGACTCTACTATGTATGCAATTTTTTTCTGCTGCAGGCTTTGTTGCTCCCTCAACTTGCTCACATATGGTATATTCTGATGTCTGTTAAATGGCATGTTGTATGTTAATATTTTACAGTTCATCCCACTATAATATTCTGATCCTACTGTTTCTCTCTCTGTAGGTAAATATGTCTACCAGCCTATGACCAGTGTGTGCCAGCTTCCCACCACACCAGTCCCTGCCTCACCCTCAGATAACACCGACACCATAAACCTGTCAATCTCCCTGACTGAGCGTCTCCTCAAGACCGCCCCCAAATTCAGAGCTCCACCCTGCCCAGAGTCCCCTAGATTCTGCATCATCTCTGACCTTTTTGTTGACGACTACATTGTAAAAAGGATCAATGGCAAGATGTGCTACGTTCAGAGGCCTCTAGCAGCGGTGCCTGTTCCTCGAGAGAGGGCGCCGGCCTCACCAGCCAAGCTGCCCAATCAGCACACTCAAAACCAGCCATCCCCAGTAGCCCAAACTCCAGCCACGCAAGGCCAAAAGGGTCCCAAAATGGACCACTGCTCCTCAC